TCCAACGAATTGCTGATTATGAATGATTGGAAAATTCTCTATGAGATAAAAATATAAAATAATTATATTTCCTACAGTGAAAGGTCGAAAAACGCGACTAAAAGTGCTAAAAATTGAAATTTTTCAAATTTTGACAAATTATTTCAATTGCAAATATCTCGTAAAGTAAAAGAAATAAAAAAGATGAAATTGCAGAATCTTAGTCTACGGGCAATTCTCTATAAAATAAACTAAATATATCAAGAAAACAACCCCTATATCTCCCGCATGATAATTTAAAATCGACAAAGTTATTCAAAACAATTCACAAGTTTTCCGTGATTGTGGTGTAACATGTATGATTTAATGCCGAAGAATTTAATTTCACTCTTTGCCAAGTTGGATTTACAACCGCCTCCTCACCACGACGCCCCTTTGGCGTTGGCGCGCGCGGTGGCAAGAGTCCTTTCCGAGCAGAATTTATGTCCGCCGAAGGAGATTTCGAAACACTTCAGATATATTGCACCATAAACACGAAATACTGATATACTTCATGTCCGCACGGCCGCGGGCGAGAGGTGCGCGTCGTCAGCTTTCCAAGGCCGAGAAGAAATAGAACCCTCCACCGCTGACTGAAGAGACATTGGTCATCGACTCAAAAACACTTTATCTTTATGGTGCGTCGTTGGCGCGCACATCATTTATTCACATCGGCATCAATAACAAAAACCAGTGCTTGTTTCACCTCCTCTCCACGCGTGTTTGTTTGTTTCATTACGAGATTGTCTAATAAATTTGATTCGGGTGAAATTTACCCTGCGCCCGAAACTAGCGTTACATAAATACAAACACACAAAATGTATATTGGGTTGCCTACGTTTGTTAAAATGTTTTTGATCACGTTGTTTACAGATTGCGCTTTATTTTTAAACAAATGGCATATTATTACTTTACGTTTTAACAAACCACTAACAAAGGGTGTGGGGTGGGGATCAAAGGGTAATTATCCGTTTCGTGCGGCGCTAATTACGTTAAGGGTGCCTTTGATGCTAATTTCACAAGAACGCCCAACAAATAAATATATTCCTGGCGCACATTTGACCACTGCCAACCCACGCCCGTATCATAAATAAGGTGGACATGATAATTCCACGCAATTTTACGAGGTGAAAACATCACTACCGAAAAGTTTGTTGTCGGAAATACGCAGTTATCCGAAACTCGCACACGAGTGGATGGTTTTAATTAAAACTTTATTTTTTCAAGTGCGGACGCAATTTCATTAAAAGAGTCACTTCATCCACTCCGCCGGATTCATAGATTAACTCAATGCAATTATTTTTTTTTCGGCGTTCGAGAATTTTTATTTTTGTTATTAATCTAAAGTGTTGGATCATAACTTCCGACCCGGGTGATCTTGGCGATGAAAGCGGGTGATGGCCTCGACTTAACACTTGAAAAGTATAATTAAAGGACATGCCTATATGGTCAAACGGTTAATCCGCAGCAATCAAGATGGTGGCGGGGGCACGTTAATTGATAGGTACCCACATCAAATTTAATCCCACTTTAGACTAGCTTTGGCGACAAAGCGAGCACTCCTTAATGAGGGCGCGCGTCGGCCTATCTATATAGTGTTACAACACAGTCCACTGCAGCTGACATAGTTCGCTGGCCCCATCGGGCATGATATCCCGGCCAAGAGTTTGCACAACTTCATCAACTATACCCCAAATTGGGGCATTACTTGAATACGATCATTTCATGTACCTAATTATCAATTTTTGGAAAATGTTGGGTTCAAAACTGGAAATTTTGAGTTTAATACCGGTTAACCGGTATTTCGGTATACCGGTATTTTTTTAATACCGGTTTTTTGAGAGGTTTATATTGATTTTTGGAAGAAGTTTTGTATTAGAAAATTTTGGGTTTTTAAAGAAAAAATACCGGTATACCGGTTTTAATACGGGTATTTTTAAATATTGGAATTTTGAGGCTTATATTGCTTTTTAAAGCGATTTTTTAATAAATAATTTTGATTTTTTAGAGAAAAATACCGGTATACCGATAATAATACCGGTATTTTTAAATATTTGTATTTTGAGGCTTATATTGACTTTTAAAGCACTTTTTTAATAAATAATTTTAATTTTTAATAGAAAAATTACCGGTATACCGGTTTTAATACCGGTATTTTCTATTCTTTCCCATAAAACACGTTTTTCCTTTGCAGAAATGTTTTGTAATAATATTATATAAGTAATATTTTTGCATGATTCATTATTCATTATATGATGCAGCGAGGTGGAAATTGTCGCCGCAGAAAAAAATAAAATAAAGTCGTTAGTTCGCCGGGGGCGCACGTTGCGATGACTTGATGTCTTTAGAAACGCGATATTTTTCACACCTAAGTGAATCGGAAATAATAAGCGCCGCGTCGCGTAATACATATCGGGCCGCGATGACCCGGCAAGAAACGCGCCGAGCGCGAAGACTTTTTGATAAATAGTTAAAGTTTCTTTTTTCCTCGTCCACGCTGGGTGTGTATGTGGGTGTGGGTGTGTGTGCGTGGGAGGGCAAATGAATTTCCATCAATTCCATTTCCAATTTTGGAAAGCGGAAGTCCAACCGGCGCTGAATAGGAAAACATACTAAAGCTGTTGTGAGCGCGCCGCGCGCGCCAACTTGACGGAAATAAAAATGGCCATTGTGCGCAAATAATAAGCGAGAGCGCAAAACTCGCGCATATTTCACCCTCGGGGGAGCGGGAACGTTTCATTTCTGTCGTCGAGATATGGTGAATTTTAATTTTTGCAACGTACGAAATATGAAATAATATTTATTTTGATTGATAATTTGTATTAGTTTATATTTGAGGTTAGGTTAAGTTAGGTTAGGTTAGGTTAGGTTAGGTTAGGTTATGTTAGGTTATGTGAGGTTAGATTATATTTCTGTCGTCAAAATGTTAAAATTTAATTTTCCAACTTAAAAACATAAAATATTGTAATTTTAATTCATAATTTGTGTTAGTTTATATTTGAGGTTAGATTTGCTTAAGTTAAGTTAGGTTAGAATAGGTTATGTTTCATTTCTGTAGTCAAAATGTCAAATTTTAATGTTTTCACCAAATAAACACAGAATAATTAAATTTTAATTAATAATTTGTATTAAATAGTTTATATTTGAGGTTATGTAGCATAACCTCTCCGCACACTTAAATTACGCACCGCTGCCGACATTTGCTTCGCACGTGCCGCGGCGTTCGTAAATTCAATTTTGTATCGAAACCATAAGCCTCCGCGCAGATCTGCACATCGAGAAGGATTACGAAAATCAATTTCATTTTCACTTCCTGAACTGAAACCCGCGCAATGCGAAAATCCCCAATCTTGGGATTATTTCGCGCCAAATCGCATCTCTCTTTGAAGCGATCTAGATGTATGTAAACCCGATAAGGAGACTTTTATGTACGCCTCGCTCTTCACTCCTCCCAAGACCGATTTAAATATTTATCAATATCATACATATTCGCTAAGTGAAAACCACCGGCAAAATATCCCGTCTCTAATTGAACGCTAATTGGACCACTGATGCTAATTAATTTAATTCACACTCCAATAAACATTTTAATGATCCGGATTCGGCGATTTTTCAAACTTAATTAGCTACAACGCATGAAAACTCAAAAGGAAATATTTTATTATGTGCAGATACTGAATGAGATTCTTTTGAAGCGTTTGGAAAAGTTATAACTTATTAACAAGATGAAGAGACGCCCGACGCGACAAACTAATTAGCAGCTTATTTTAATTTGCTGCGCGCACTATTATGGCGATAAAACACAATGCGGGAGTCCTCGAGACGCCGCGAGTCCAAAATGGCGGCGATTGCGATGTAAACAACAAGCACTCGTCGTTTGCTCGACGATGTAATTCTCTTTTATTGTCAGTAAACGAAGCACTTTACAAAAGTAGACAACCGCATCGTACAAAATCTTTTACCATGGCACTTAATGAGTCAAATTGTGTGCAAAGACGAGCCACGGCAAGAAAGGATAGCTAATTGATCAATTAAAATTTCATGCGGATGATGATACTTGATGTAGAATAAGAAAAAAAAAGTGAGGTTAGTTGGAATGAGTGAATGAGTGAAATACCGGTTTTTTGAAGCTTATATTGAATTTTGAAAGCAATTTTGTAAAGAAAAATTTGGGTATTTGAAAAATATACCGGTATACCGAAAATAAATACCGGTATTTTTTCAAATACCCAAATTTTTCTTTACAAAATTGCTTTCAAAATTCAATATAAGCATCAAAAAACCGGTATTTAAAAATACCGGTATACCGGTTGACCGGTATTAAACTCAAAATGTCCATTTTTGCTCCCAAATTTCCTCAAAAATTGATAATTAGAATGAATGAATTCTGTGTCGACTGGCGGTGAATAATGAGCGGAAGGGCGCATAGGTAAAAGGGCGGGGATTGTAAGACGACATTTCGACACGACCTAAGTCTTGTCAAAGTTGTAGCTGCCTTATCGGCACTCCACAGAGGTCTACCGAAGCGAGCCGGGCGCGATGAGTGCGAAACCGCCGACAGCCGCGCTCGAGCCATCAATCAGGATGGATATTCAATAAATGATAGGGCATTATGGCCGTTTTTCCATGTACAACCCAGGCGTGCTGATATCGCCCGCATACGGGGATAATTTATACCCGCAACGCTTTAATATACGTAATAAAAATGGTTATTTTCGGCGCATGATTTTACATTTTTACATTTTTATATTTTTACATGCATACTACGTTTACTACCACCTCTTATACTCGCAGAGGTATAGATAGTGAAGATTTTTAAAAATTTACGAGAAGGATTGCTGCAATTCGCTTGTAAGTACGTATGTATAATTAAGCGAACGCGCAAGATGCTGCGGAATGTATCATTTCGAGGTGCAGCAAACACAAATGCTATTGCTACTGCTACCGGGGTTGTTAAGGGTGATAAATTTCAAGCAACTCACCTTGGAATCATTTATGTACCACGTAATGTTCATTGGTGGAAATGATCCCGGCGTTGTGCAGTTCGCTCGGATATTTGCCCCGGGGGCGATTTTATGGACTTCTGTTCGGAGGACTGGATTATCCTCTGGTACTTCTGCAATACAAAGAGATGGGAAATGCATGAATAGTGGCCAAATTGGTTTGTTTAATTAATTTTGTGTTTTGGAGGTAAATTGGGAATAGGTGGAGAAATTGGGAATGGGAAAAAATAAAGGGGAAAGGGAAAAAGATTTGGAGATGATGGAGAAGCAATGGGGAAAGGAGAAAAAGAAGAAAAATAAGTGGAGAGGAGTTGGGGACTAGATTGGGAGGTTGGGCGATGAAGAAAAAGAAGAGGGGAAAAGGGGGAGATGAAGAGGAGAAGGAAGAGGAGTTGAGGAGGAAGTGAAGAGATGTAGAAAAGAAGAAATGAAGAGGAGAAAGATGAAAGGAAGGTTAGGATATGATGAAAAAGAAATGGGAGATGTCTATATCACTAAATAAAGAAGAAAAGATGAAGAAAACGGATAAAATAGAAGAAATAGAAGAGAAAGAGCTAAAAAGGAGACTTAGAAAAGAAGAAAACACAGAATAATGACGAAAATACCAAAAGAAAAACAAAAGACATTGTAATACATCTATTCTAACTATGATTATCCTCGTCCCTACCCCCTCCCGCCCCTATTAGTAATTACCTCATTAAGGTCCGACATTAATTATAGGAAAACTAATTTATCGGATCCCGATTATCTGCCACCTCCGAGACTGACAGATTATTGAATTTCCTATTCTGTACACGTTACCATTACCTTACCCCCACTCCACCTCTCTTCTCCTCCTACTCCTACTCTTCTACTCCAACAACAAACATTTTGAAACCTGCTCCATCTTGACTTCTTCTCTTCTCCTCACCTCATTTCGCAGAGATCACGCAATTAAATACATTTTCCTCCAGCAATGGCGCGCGACGCGCAAACAATTTAAATCGTGATTTAAAGAGAAACGCGGCGCACACGCTCGTCATCTAAATGAAATTTACGAGGACGTTTGCGCCTGTGAACTTCCAAAGGTATTCAACTCATGGCCACTTATACCTTAGACCCGAGCGTGCCGGAAGAAAGCGCACAGCTCCAATTCATCTTACTTTATTGTGCGCGCGAATATCAAGCTCACTATTTTATAAACTACGAAGGTTTTTTTCTTTTCTTGCTGGTTTTAAATACCTGCGACTAGAAGATGAGCGGCTCGTATTTCGGTGTGGAAGAGTGGCGCATCCGCTGAAACTTCACACTTGAACATTCCGGAAGTCTCACGGTGTACGTTCCGTAGTGTAACTTCCCTCGAGTTGGACCGGTAGATCTGAAACAATTCGCATACGTTTAAACTGAATTTCCTGTCTCGGTGTGGGTGAATATGCGTGGAAAATTCTTCAAATGGCTGGAAACGAGCATGATTTTAAATTATGCGCCGCGTTAATCAATTTAGATTAGTTGCAAACTAATTACGGCGGTGGAAGATGCGCGCAAGTGGCGTGACATGCACGAAACAAAATATTTGACAGCCGCCAGGTGTATGCATCGTGTACGACGAATTGAAACGCAAACTTTGCACACACGGAAACCTTAGTTGGGAAGGGAGAATGCGGAATCGTGTGCACTCTCGGCACTCACAAGTTATTTGCAAGTTTGAATTTACAAGCGCACGAACAGCGAAGGTAATCTGCATATAATCAACCACGACTTTTGATTTTTTTCGTATTTTTTAGTTTTGAGGTGATGTAATGGTATATTATGTCACTAGTGCGCTAAGTGACACTTTATCCACTTTACTTTAGTCACGATCGTGACTAAAAGTTTAAAAATTGTATTTTTTGTGTCTCGAAACCTTGAAAAAAAATTTCCACGCAGTGGATAAAGTATTTTAGTCACGGCCGTGTCTAAATTGCATTTTTTATCTCCCGAAACCGTGAAAATGAAATTTCCATCTCCGTGGCTAAAGTATTTTAGGCACAGTCGTGACTAAATTGCATTTTTTGTTTCCCAAAACCGTAAAAATCAAATTTCCACTCCGTGGCAAAAGTACTTTAGTCACGCCCGTGTCTAAACCAGCATTTTTCGTTTCCAGAAACCATAAACATGGCAAAAATTTTAGGCACAGTCCGTGGATTCCCAAAACCGTAAAAATAAAATTTCCACTCCGTGGCTATTGCATTTCAGTCACGGTTGTGACTAAACTGCATTTTTCGTGACTAAAAAAATGCATTTTTCATGCCTCGAAACCGTAAAAAATAAAAAATGAATTTACGACATGCAAAATAAAAAAGTAACGACCTCCTGCGTCCCGAGTCTTGGGGATCTCCGAGCGATAACTGAAAGTTATCACCAATGGTGGAGGCATTAATAAACTCATGTTCTTAACTCAAATTATCCCCCAAGTTGGGGCTCAAAGCGCGGGCGCGCGCGCGGTATGAAATAGTCTATTTCGCGTTGTTTTAGCGAGTTTTCGGTAAGTTTATCATCGAATTCCACGAATTTTCGATGTGTAGATGTGGGCGCGCATGTCCCGAAGCAGTGAAGTTGGTGCTTTGCCTTGGCGAGCATTTAATTAAGCAAAGTTCGCACACGCACCACCACCAGCACAACCAATACAATTAATTTTAACACCTTATTGTTGCGGCTATATCAATATACCTAGACAGACGCCGGGACAAGGAGATGAGTTAGTAAAAGGCACAAATGCTGTCAGCCAAGGACATGTGCGGCTTGTAGTTTGTGCGCGCCGACATTCAATATCAAAACTCAGGGTCTAGTCGTGATATGTGCGAGCTGGGCTGAAGAGACGACGTGTGCCAATTCATGTCTCGCTTCCTCCGGGCGAGCGAAGCCAATATGTTATACAGAAATTAATTATCCTCCGCGCAAATTTCCGTCGTCGCTCATCGAATACTAATTCGTGTGCCTGCTTTGTGCGCGTTTCGAACATGCCAAATAAGCATTATATTTTTGATGCTTAATTAGTGCTCATTGTTCATGCTAAAGCAGACTGCTAATTCTACACGCGGCTACGTGGGCACTTTTTTTTGCTCACCTGCACGGAAATTCAGGATGTAAAGTCAAAAATTGGAAAAAATGATTCGAAAGTTTGTCTCCGGTTTTTCTTGTACTAAAAATGCATTTTTGAGGTTTTAAATTGAAAAATACAAAGAAAAATCAACTTTTTTGATCTGAAAAATTTGTATTAAAGCGTAATTGTTATTGTTTTGTTGTTGGAAAAAGAAAAGACAATAAATATTATTATTTCAATGCTTTGTGAATTAAATTTCTTGCTAAAAAGCTGTTTTTTCTGTTTTAAAATTAGAAAAATAAAGAATGTGAAAGAAAAACCAACTTTTACTTCTTAAGAAATCATTTTTTGTTGTTTTTGTTGTTGTTGTAAAGTTGTGAACGGAAAAAACAATAAATATCACCTTTTTGATGCTTTATTAATCATTTTTCTTAGTAAAATGTTTAAAATGTGAAAAAAAAAAAAAAATTAATTCATCTTAAAATTGTTTTCACAATCTTTTTATTATTATTTTGTAGAAAAACAAAAAATATAAATAATACCTTTGATGCTTTATTAATCATTTTTCTTAGTAAAAATCACGTTTTTGCGTTTAAAATGAGCAAAAAACGAAAAAAAAGAAGAAAAAAATTTATTCATCTTAAAATTGAATTTTCACGTTGTTTTTATTATTATTTTATAGTTCTAAGGACAAAAAACAATAAATAATACCTCTTTGATGCTTTATTAATGATTTTTCTTAGTAAAAATCACGTTTTTGTGTTTAAAATAAGCAAAAAAAACCTAAAAAAAAGAAAAAAATTATTCATCTTAAAAATGAATTTTCACGATGTTTTTATTATTATTTTGTAGTTCTAAAAACAAAACCAATAAATAATACCTCTTTGATGCTTTATTAATTATTTCTCTTCCTAAAAACCCACTTTTTCTACTTTAAAATAAGAAAAACCACAAAACCCCAACTTTTCTTCTTAACAATTCATTCTCACAGTGTTTTTATTGTTGTTTACTGTACAGGAAACACAACCAAAAAAATATGCGACCCTCTTTATGAATCTTTACGACCCGAATATGTTTTCTAATGAAATTATCCAATTTCCGCCCGGAATTAGGTGGAATATAAACGGGCAACTTAGTAGTCCGCTCATCGTGACGCCGAAGCGTTTTGTTCCGAAGCGAATCGTGGAATGACCATGGGGTCTAATGCGGATCTCATTTGGGTCGAATTCGAGAGTGTCCCTCACATCGGAAAACCGCAGCGCGCGTTAAGCAGCAAGTAAATCGTGTTTAATGTAATTCCCGATAACCGCGGCGCGGCGCACTTGATTCCAATAAACATGCAATTTTCGTTAAGAAGGGTTCACAGATCTGTGTAGGTTCATTTAAAATACACGACACTCAAAAGTCATAAAATTGCATTTTCTTGCATTTTATTGCATGTTGTTGGGAATGGATTTAGATATTAACAAGGCATAAACATGGCGAACAACGCCAGCAGACACAAAACACATTTCCACAAGCCGCGACGCGTGATCTTGCATTTCTCAACTTTGACGGTGCACATTCATTATGCATAAACCTGTTAGAAATGCGACGGCATGCACTTTTGCATTTCGTGCGCGGAGTTTTCTATCTAATAATGTTGTTTGCTCCCCAGATGCAATTGTCGAAAAGGGCCATGCATTAAATATTAGTTTTCCGCATCTCTAAATTCCCTCTAAAACTGTTGTTTTTTTAGTTTTCAGGTGATAAAATAGTATATTATGTCACTAGTGCGCTAAGTGACACTTTATCCACTTCACTTTAGTCACGATCGTGACTAAAAAATTAAAAATGCTTTTTTTGTGTCCCGAAACTGTGAAAATAAAAGTTACACTTTGTGGCTAAAGTATTTTAGTCACAACCGTGACTAAATTGCATTTTTTGTCTCCCGAAACCGTGAAAATAAAAGTTCCACCGTAAAAATAAAATTTTCGCTTGTATTTTGACTAAAATATTTTAGTCACGGCCGTGAATAAATTGCATTTTATGTCTCCCGAACAAAAAAAAAAACATTGAGTGTTGGTAACAATAAATCCACGTGGAATTACGTAAATGACGCTCTTTATTCTTAAGGTAGTGCTCTCCATCATTATTAGTCCGAGCTTAAGTCCCGGCCCTTTGCCAAATTACACCTGATCTGCAGCGAAAACATTTATTTCACAAAAGGATACCTAATCTAAATGCCGGCCGTGTTTGTGCAGACGCAGTTCACCCTTTCGGACGTTCGGCTGCCCGCCGGCGCACATAATGACGCTCCATTCGGGTGTTAATATTGTCGTCGATAAGAGTCTTATTTAAAGACGCGAAAGTCATGAATATCTCTCGCCGGGATGTTTATCGTGCGCCGTGGGACGATAGTCAAAGGCCCACTCTAGCCGGAGGACCCACCCAGTGCCCTCGATTTCAGGAGGTCGAATTGTCGTCGGGGAAAATGTTGTATACATTCGCACATGGTGTATATGTGTGTGAGAAGTCCTTTTAGCAGATAGTCCTAGATACCCGCCCGTTTGTTGAGATGGCGCTCGTATAAACAGTACGTTTTAGAGTTCTTTTAAATTGAATCACGTTCAAGTAAATTTTTGTGGCTGTTTTATGCTTTCCCAAGCGTCTAGAGCTAATTTCTGGGATCACTCCGCAAAGTACTTGTAAAAAAATCAACAAATTTTTTCTGGTAATTTTTACAGATTAAATTCTTATTTTCTTCGCAGCCATTGTTGGCTTTCTTTGAAATCGTATTTGCGGAAACGGATTTTGCACTTACATCCCAGACAGCGTCCCCGAATTAGTGAAAAACAATTTATTGAGTCAACAGACAATTTGGACCCGTGTTTGTTTGCGTCGCTTTTTTGCCGAAGCGTTTCTTTCACGTTTTTGTTTGGTGTGTTTTTTTTTCTTTGGATGTGTGGGGTTAACACGATGAAAGTCAAGCTGTAAAGCTTTTCCTTTCACTCCGGTTGGGTTTTCCTAAGCCTCATGTGAAGAATTCACACTGGAAAACTAAAAACACAACGCAAAAACATCGTTTAATTAGAGAAGCAGACAAAAGAAAATGTTGTGCATTTTGACTGAAAAGAAATTAGGCAATGTAAATGTAACCCGTTTGGTGTTCAGGGGATTTCGGTGTTGACTCTAAATATTCTGTAAACATGGAATACATTTCCCAAATGACTGACGCTGTCTGTATGCGAATGAATAACAAAACAAAAACAAGCGTCGACGGTATTTCCCTGAAGGACACATATTTGTCGCCTGTC